CATTTTCACCAGAAACCACATTTGTCTTCCAACATCTGATATTCCCTCAACTCACAGCCATATTTGGCAAAGAGATTTCCTTCGTTTTTGCTTTTTATGATCAGAATTATTGCGTCATTTTCTTGGCTATGGGGTAGGCGTGCTAATTAAGCCATTCTCTCATTTATAAATTTTTATTTATAAAAATATTTTTTTAATGGTTTTTATTGTGAGCCGCCCAGAGTCACCCGTTGGGGGAGATGGGCAGCATACAAATTTAATAATAACTAGCTAACTAACTAACTAACTAACTAAATAAATAAATAAATAAAATACTTGTTTCCCTGAGGCTTTTTATTTTATTTTTTTTGTATATGCAATACTTGTCTAAGCTAATTTATCCCCACTGCTTATGACTGTGAGCATGGTTTTTGAGTTAATTATTTTCCCCGTTGTTGAAGTCTTGCGTCTGAGGTAAGCTATTTTTCTCCAATTTGGGGTGGGGGTGGGGTTGATTTCTACTGTTTTTGGGATATGGTGGAATTTTAGTTTTAGTTTTTATTCTTGTACTTGTATCAACTTGCCCTCGGCACTATTCCTAATGGGATGATGGTTAAAAGAAAGACATACATCTGAACAAGGAATCAAGATGGTGTTATCCTCTTTCCCCTATAAGAAAGCAAAAGGAGTAAACACAATCCTGGGCCAGAGGATCAAAGGGAACGGAAGGGGAGAAGTGGTTCTTTATGACTTGTTCTCAAATTGACTCTTTTCTGATAAAGCAAGTCACAATAAGTCAAGGCAAACTAGAACAGCCCCCCCTCCCCCCACATAGCAGGTTAGCCTGCAATTACGGCTAGTCTCCTTTTCTATTTTTCCCATCCAAACCCCAATATATATGTCAAGAGTTGTTGCAGTACAGACAGACAGGAATTTTGCAGATCTGGTTTCCTAACCTATTCTGATTGATAAGCAAAAAACCATTTTCAGAGACATTTATCCCCAATTCTCCTTTATAACATTTAAATTAAGCTTTTGGACATTTTAAATTAAATTCATTTGTTCTGTAAATGCATAAGAGAATTCTTTTCACCCAATAATCATTTCTTCCTTTTAAAAAATACATGGAATCTTTTTGTTTGTTTGTTTTAGATTTTTTTTTTATCCTGCCTTCATTATTTTTATAAATAACTCAAGGTGGAGTACCTAATACACCTTCTTCCTCCTATTTTCCCCACAACAACAACCCTGTGAGGTGAGCTGGGCTGAGAGAGAGTGACTGGCCCAAAGTCACCCAGCTTTCATGCCTTTATCTATTTAGAAGTTCACTAATCTGTATCTGGATTTCTCTTTCATCTCCATATAACTTAATATCAAAGCAGGAGTCCTCTTTCTGGATTAAAATGATGCAAGGAAAATGAATGGGTGCATTCTCAGAACTTTTGAGACAAAGTATCCCAAGAGAGGCTGCCAGATTGATGCATGCTGACTCCATCCAACCTTCCCCAAATCCACTGAAATATTTCCTTTAAGACCACGCCAAAACAAAATACTGTAGTTACATCCAGTGTGGGACAACATCTGCAGATGTTTGATAACGTATTTGCCTGTTGCTGCTGCTAAACATAATGACTCCCCTTAGTCAAGTTCCTGGTGACTACATGGGCCCATCCACGCAGTCTTCTTAGCAAAAATGCAGAAACAATTTGTTGTTGCCTTCTTGTGTCTTTTTCCCTTTCTTTTTTTAACTTCCCAGCCTAGTCTATGGCCCTGAGGTTTCCTAATGGTGTCCCACCCAAGTACTAGCCAGCTCCCGTCTAATTTTTTTTCATGGTCGGATGAGGTTGCTAGGCACTACCCCATGCGCCAGTTGGTCAAATGACTTGCCAAGCAGTCCAGCAGGAAACCAATGCTGGTATTTCTATGCTTAGACTTTCTGTTATAGACGTTATCTGTCTAATGTGAGTGAAGACAAGAGATGTTGTTTTCAATCTAACTATACAAGAATTGTGTGTGATGCCCCCAAATCCAGAAACCTAAGGTCAACTCTTTGAATTAAGAGTTGGAGCTTGAAATGCACCAGGAAGAAGATTCTCTTCCTGACCAGGTACAGATAAAGGCAAGGTGCATAGTATGCCTGGTGTAGTCCATTCAAAGGCTTCAACATGCCTGCTAAAATCAAGAGGCCAACTTGTAAGCTAAGAATCACACAGGCAGGAAATCAAAGTTTGCTGTAGTTTCTCTCCACTGTTCTTACTATGTCCATGCAAGAATTCTTTGCAAGTTGCACCAAAGTGAATGGAATGGTGCTTCTATTCAGACTGCCTCCCTCACCCCAATGGTGGCTCTTTAAATTGTTCTCCTCATCTTGTTATGTTGTGATATGAACACCTCTGACATTTTAGTTTTTTAAATGGGCAGACTGGTCCCATTAGATTCAACATGTATGAGTGCAATGGACAAAATAATAAAAAAAGTTATTTTACTGTACAGTATCCCTACCACTGACATGTCTTGTCTACTTTTCTGCCCTTGAAATGAACCATAGCATTCTTACCTTTTCTTAAAATCAATCAATTGCTAAAAGAAGACCTGTGCAGGGGTCAATACTTTCTGTTTGCCAATAACTTTAGATCTATTACTCCAAAGATTAATGTTCTGGATTACAATTCCCATCATACCTGCCCATTGGCCATGATGGCTAGGTCTACTGGAAGATCTAGACAAGGCATCTGGAATAAGTTAAATTGGGGAAATACTCTTTGGCACATGCGTGTTCAGCAAAGGTGTGCACACCACAATCCATATGGGGACATTAGTTTTATTGTTCCATGACAGAATTCAGGTTTTGCTGTTGTGCTTTAGATGACCCACTGTGCATCTCCCCAAAGCCTGCTTTATTTTTGAGCGCTCTCCAAAAATAGTCTGTTTCCAAAGTTCCTGATATGGTGCCAGTTACAAAGATCACAGATCCTTGCAAGAGATGGGGAAGTCTTGTATTTGACCTAATGGCCAGTGGTATATGTGGGAATGGGTACAGTCACAAAAATAATGCATTGAGTCCCAGGAATATAATCCTTAAACCAGGAGAGGAAGAACTGGTTTGAACAATTTCAATTCATCATACCGGGAGGACAATCTCAACAGTTCCTGCTTTGTCAGGTTCTTATTTCTCCTCTTAAGAAGCATCTCTTTCTGAAAGACGAGTTTACTAGTATTGGCATCTTTATCCCATCACACTGGAAAAACAGAGAGTGGATTTCCAATTTAAAGGAGTTTCAGTTTCAGATCCAAGATTGGGAGCCTTGAGTATTTAACCAAATCTTTTGGCACATGTTGCATTTGCATCTGCCTTGCTTCTTTAGCTCTTCATGTTGGCATTCACTTATCTAGATCCACTGCAAAATAGGAGATTAAATGATTTCACACCTGAAACTTCCTGTGTACACTGAAACCCATATAGTACTGTTCCTTTACTGAAAAGTTTAAAATTAAATACAAATCGCTACATCTAAATTACCTCATAATATTAGAAGCATCTTCAGCATCTGGATCCGCGCAGTATTTGTTGGCAAGGATTAGGCAAGCATCTGCTGACTCTATCTGGACATCAAAGGAGAAAGCATAAAAACATAAAAAGCAACTTTTTTTTTAACCTATTTGGCTTTCATGGAATCTGGGCTAAGAGATCATACGTGGCAAACATACAGGTAATTTCATACATAAACAAATGAACTCTATTATTCATGGGCCCCTTTCAACATCCAGATGTCATAAGGAAACTTATGCATCTAGATCATTATTTCCCAACCCTAGCAACCTCCAGATGTATGGATACAACTCTCCAGGCAGCATGGCCATTGTTGAGAATTCTGGGAGTCAAAGTTCACACATCTGGAATTTGCCCAGGTTGAAAAACACTGTGCACGAGGCCTAACAGGTTTCAGCTTCTATAGGAGACTATACACATAGTCTTTGAGGTCTAGACTTAATGCTTTATTGTTGGATTCAGAGATTATTATGGCCCCATTGGGTTATTCAGTTGAAATACTACAAGAAAAGTGTTATGTTCAGAATGATTATCTGGTTCATAAAAGCAGAATTCTGGACTGTTGCTACTTCAGACTTGAACTTGCTCACATATTGTTATTGTTACATTATCCACCTCCTTTCTTTCTAAAGAATCTTATTGTCATCATAAAACAAGCAAATCCTTGGATATCTTTATTGCTCAGGGGCTAGTTTGGAGGGAAAGTTCTGACAGTCCAAAATGCTAGCATGGTATTTCTGTGACATTTCTTCTGAGCCAATTTGAACTTGAAGTGACTTCAGATTTCTTGAGCTGTAATCCATCAATATCGTTTTAGACTACTCGAATGGTATGATTTCTGCCACAGCACCATGAAAATGAAAACACAGTGTTTTCTACAAATGGTTTCTAGATTTCCTTACAGGACCATACTCTCAGTTTTCAGACAGAAGGATTTTTAAAATCAGTTTACATTTTTAGACATTGTTTGTTAAATTTCTTCTCCAATGGTGGGGTAGAAAATAGAAGGAAACCCTTACCTTTACTCTAGCCAAGTCATGAGGATTGAGAACTGAACCCTGAAAAAATTCCACCTGAGTGAAGTGTCGTTTAAAAAGAGCTTCCAACTCAAGGTTAGGGGAGATACTAAATTTAAAAAAGACAAAGAGAAAACTTATTTCTTGAAGAGTTACAAAAGGTTTCAACTTTTGTAATAGCTCATAGCATCTATGTTGTACAAAACGTTATCATTTTCCTCCCTGTTTTCTTTGCACTTACTAGCTCTCAAGAACTTTACCACCTTCATCAAAACATCATCCCTTGCTTTACCTCTGGATCAGAAAGATTAAAAATGGGATTGGGGGAGGGCGATTATGTTCAGTATTTCCACTGTGTCTTTGGAATTAGAAGAGAAGGTGTATTTCAAAAGACTTTGTGCTCAAAGGCACTTTGTCCACTGCTTAATTTTACTGAAAAGGTGATTTAAGCCATTGTGATAAGACACACACACACACACACACACACACACAGCCCACCTGGGAAGACTAAGCTGCTCACTTCCACTACTCTAAAATTGCCTGTTCTGTGAGGCTGACAATGACCTGCTACATAAGAATAACTCTGAATGCCAGGAGCTGTCTAAGTAATGCTTTCAACAGTCACTCATAATTTACATCCAAGCAAATCAAAAGCAACCCTTTTGTGTATTTTGCACTTTGCTTTGTCCTGTACTTCTACACAGTCCCAACTGTGTGAAATTTTTGACAGACAGGATAAGAACTCACGTAAGAGTGTTTCAAATTAGTCATACACCCAGCTGATCAAAACTGTATTTTTGTCTGTAAAACCCACTAATTCACTTTAAAAAAGTAGAGCTGCCTGATCTAAAATCAAGGCAGTTATTATTAGAAACGAGCTTTACTGTAACAGCAGGTTCTTTAGGCATTCATGACTGCTGATAGTGCATTTGGTATTGGAAAAAAAGGATAAAAAAAACCTGAGAGCATTATTTTAGTTTTCCATATTTTCTAGCCCCTCTTCTGTGTAAAAGGTACTGTAAGCTTGTATTTATAAATGTACAGGTATTTGTATACTACAAATAATAAGATCACAGAACTGAGAAAGAGGATGTCCTTGTCTGCTCATGCATCAACATTCATTACTTAATGGCTGCATGTCTGAAGAGCACAGAAGGCCAGAATTCATCAGAATAAACTTCTCCATTATTCCCATCACACGTATGGATTCTTCCTGCAAACCAGTAGAGCTAAGAAGGTGTATCTCACTCTTTCTATAGTTTATTTAGCAAGGCAGTCAAACCAGAAATTCTGGCCTCTTTGTCTTGTATCTGGTCTTGCGGCATCTTCAAGACCAACATATTTATTATTACAGGAGCTTCAATAAACTAGGGACCATGTCAACAACACATGAAGTGTTATCTATGTGGATCTTCATATTTCCCTATCTAGATCTTCATCTGAGACCGAAGGAAAGACAGCTGGACCACAAAAGAAAGGTATTTTCATATTCTTCAGAGATCCTAGTGGCAACTAATATTATAGTCCTTTTGGACCCAGGCAAATAACTCTTTTTATTTATTTTTAATTAGTTAGAACTATATCCTGCCTTTTCTCTTTGTATTCTGTTTTTTGTTCAACTTACAGTATATCCTTGTAGGTTTAACTTAATGAGTGACTGGTCCAAGAGGTTCCAGAGTAGGTCTTCTCAGTCACAAATGAAACTTTAACTATAATGCCGTGCTATACCCCAATTTTCCCAGCTATTTTAAAAATGATTTAAAACTAGTGTTAGAACTTCACTATTTAGTGCTATATTTGTTACTGTGACTTTCATGATGTATTGATTGCTGCCCAATGATGTCTTTGTTGATGCATTTATTCCTTTCTCTGTTTTATTATATATTTCAACTTATTTATATATCTTTAAAGTTGTGGTTAGTGGGCAGGTTATTAGCGCAATAAATTTTTTAAAAATCGTAATTTGACAGTGTAAAATAATCTAAGCACTTAGATCTTGGGAAAAGCAGTGCAAAATAAAACAAAACAAAAACACAGGGAAATCCCCACAGACTTTGAAAATTACATTAAGACTTAAATCCTGGCATTGGTAAATTTAAAATCTTCACATACATCCAAATGGCACATCCTGGGTCAATTTCTGTTCTTCATGCTCAACTACCATCATTTAATGATACATTAGTTTAGTATGATTATCATTTTCAACCTCTTTCAGGTTGGATTTCAAACCTCTTCTTGAATATGCAAAATACTGTATATGAAACTTTTTCAGGTCCTCCTTGTTAACGTCTAGAATTATTTTTGACTGGTGACATTTCTGATCTGGATAAGTGGACATAAGTGGAAGACTTGTGGTTTCAAAACAATAGACAATAAAACTGAGATCTGTAATCAACTGTTTAAATGATATGGAGGATTTCTCATTTAATGAGATTACTTAATCTATGGCATGAATGATAGGGAATATTATATACAAACGTGTTTGAAGAATCCTTGTTCACCACTCAAATTTTCCCACTGGGGACCCTATAAAAATCCTAAAAGAATTCTCAGTCCCTAAACCACACATATCATGCAAGTCATGCTTCAAAAATGATTTGGAGGCGTTCTTTCAGACCTCAGCAAAGCATAGCACTTCTTTGCTTTTCATTAAAGCAGCCCAACTTTTTGCAGGATTTGAAGTGAGCCTGAAAAATACATTGTGGCTGCACAATGAGATCTCTTAAAGCAATAACTATGCTGGTCTATGTAATAAATACTTGATCTGATGACTTAAAGCAACAGCATCTTTTTTTCCAGTTCATGTGGAAGCCTGAAAAAAGTCGGGCTGCTTAATGAGATCCTATACTTCCACTTCAAAGGTGCAAGACATCTTTTTAAGTGGTTAAGAAAAGATGTCCCCCAGGACTATGAAATTTAAACTATCAGGCCAAATACAGCCCACCCTTCTGAGAAGTTTATAGGCTATAACAAACATTTTCTAAAAGCTAGATAAGTGGTTTAGCACCACAGAATGTAAAAACAATGTCTATTACTAGCATTGTTTGCAACTGGGACAGAGAAAGTATTTTCCCAAGAATTTTACTGCAGATTTCAGGGTCCCACATGCTTTTTTTGTGAGTAGTGACATAAATGTACTTACTTATGCAGAAAGACAATTTCTACGTTGACATCATCCCTGTCCTTGTGAAGGAAGTCCTTCAGGAAGTTGGACACACTTTCCAGAGTGATGTGGCCACAGACAACAATGTGCCTGGGACAGAAAAAAGGACACAGTTAAGTCTGCTGAAAAGACAACCAGGAAGAACAGGAACAAGTTAATATGAAGGTGTGAGACTGTTATATTTTAGGAATATAATCACAAAAAAAAAGGGGGGGGGGAAATAAGCACTGATCTAGTGATACATCTCCAGTTTGTTCTTGAAAAGAGAAATACAAGTACCCACACTACAAAGTCTTAAAAGAATACCATTTAATTCAATACAGTGTAATTACAGCCACATATTTAGACCAGAATCACATAGATGCTACATTTCCAGCAACCTTAGTCATTATGGTCAATGGCAAGTTCCAATTAGATGGCTGGTCTAAAATGTCTGTCTTTCTTTCTTTTTTTTTGCATAACATCATTAGCATTTTGACCCAGGCCAGCTTCCTGTTACAGTTGAAATGTTAGCTTTTTAATCATGATTTAAACAAACCAGGCTTGAAAACATAATTCATCAGGGGAGCAAAAGGGTAGAAGGGAGGTGTGTAGTCATCACTTCATTCCGAATTTAGGAATGCCAAATCAACTCACAATGTTCTTACAAAGTGGGATGTGTCAGGATTGAATGTTATGTCCCCTGCCCCATATTCATCTTACATTTGATATCAATGATTTGTGATCTCCTGATTCCATTCAGCTAAGTCTGACCTAAAAGGGAGACTGTTCTGGCCCCATATGCTGAAAAGCTTGTACCACACTGGAAGTTTTTATCAGACTTGCCAGAGATTATTCTATTATAACTGAAGGTGGGTAGGCAAACCAAAGGTATAAAAGAGAAAACAGCCCATTAAAAATACCTTCCTAAAATAACTTTTTTTTTTTCAGTTAAAGAATTGAAGACTATTTCACCACATCCTCAATTTATTGACATTGCTCACATGTCTTGTTCAAGAACTTCCTTTCTTATTTGTTTTTTTTCCCCTGCAAATGCACAAAAATAATATTATGTTACTTGGAATATATCTTGTGCAATTTAAGATACCCTCTATGAATGTGCAAACCAACTGGCTGATCTTTGCTTCTCTTATTAAGGGGAATGTCCATTAGTAGCATTGTCTGCCTATATGCTTATTCCAAAGGAGAGAATCCAGGGCTGCTTCAAGAATCCTGTAACACAGAACAAATTCTACCCCTTAAAGCAGTGTTGTCCAAACTTGGCCCCTTTAAGATGAGTGGACTTCAACTCCCAGAATTC